TCATTCACTGTATGTGATTGAGCTCACAGTTGTGTCTTTTACCTTATAGGTTTGCTAAAAACTTGTCTCCTGATAAGATCAAACTGAGTACGCTGAAAGGGGAGGGAGACCTTCAAAATCTGGAATTGGATGAAAAAGTATTGATGGATATAATGGATCTGCCAACATGGGTCATACTTACCAAAGCTGTGTGTAACAAGGTTTCCATCAAGGTAAGTGGGGTAGGGTAGTACACTTCAAAGAAAACAACTGTGAGCAACAAAGATAGCACATGCAGTGTAATTCTGGGCTGAAATAACACAGCATGATCATACATGTACATGTGTATGTATATGTGATCTAAGACTAGAATGACTTTTAAAGCAGTCATTCCAAGAAAGATTTGACTGAATGTAGTCTGCACGTCTTCATGATATAAACCTGGAAATATATACATGTACATTGTACTTTACAAAATAATCCTCACATGAAAAACAATATACTGTATAGTCTTTTTAGTAGTCTACTTTTGCATACAAGCGATGGAAAACTAATTACTTTGTAGAAAGCCACAACGGCTTACTTTAAGATTGCGAGGTTAAATCCATTGAAAATCTTGGCACAGCTATTATAATTATTGCTTTCCAAATCAATACAAGTAAATCTTTAGCTTGGTATGAGAATTAATACACATCCTGCCTGTATGGTCTGGCTGTTCTTCTCACAATGTAAAAATTGACAAGACTGGTATTCATATTTTGTGTCTTAAATAATTTGTCTGTACATGCATGTTATTTCTTATTATAATAATTAAATGCATGGCATCATTTGTGAAAACCTTGGATTGGGTTGATATTTTTATTTTATTTTATTTTTTATTATTATTATCACCAGTTTTTTTTTAATTGTAGTTTTTTTTTTTTTTTTTAAACCAATGTCGTGCTTTAGATTGTAATTTGTGTCAAATTTGTATGTTTTAAATATGTGTTCTAGTAGTTAGTGTAACCATTTTAATTCATTTTGAGGAATTTTAAGTGTTTCAATAAAACTGATGATAATATACTTATAGTATTGTAGTACAACACTTGTATACCAATTTGTAATTCTTGTAGCAACATGATACAATGAATAAACTGTAATGTTTGTCTGGCTTGATTCAGTTATAATGTTGCATTTGATTTAAACGTGGATGTAATACTCAGTCTTGATGGACACGAGTCTCATATGAACATACTTACACGTACGTACATGTATACATTGTGCAGACAAAGTTAAAGTAAATACGTTGGACATTATATGACCTTGATGCACATCATTTTGTTTTTCAGATAAGATTCAAAATGGCTGACTGGCGGCCATTTTGTTTTAATGAATGTGGTTCTAGTGCTATATCTCTGACTTGCTGTGACTGATTATGTTCAAATTTTAAATATTCATTAGGCCAGACTTTTATTATCCCTTGTTTCGCTAACCCACCGAATGAACAGGAGCCGAAAATGAAATAAAAATAAAATAAAAAAGTATCGAAGTCTCGCGCAGATGAGAAACAAGGTTATACATGGAATAAAATTTTATATCATTTCTTCTCTCCGATCAATTATCTCACTTACAATTCTTTGAATCACACAAATCGAATGGGAAAAAAAGATTAAATTTTATTTTTTTCCGCTCTCCTCAAAAAAATTGCTTATAAAAACTCGAGAAACAAGGATTAAAAAAATTCTGGCCTTATACATCATGTCATGATATACAGATAATATTGGTTTGACGATCCTATTAAAAATGGCAATGGTGGTCATTTTTGATTAAAAAATCATCAAATTTTAAGCATTTCTGGCATTTATGGATGGATTTTGTTCAAACTTGGTACATACATGTACATTAGACATTACGGGTTCCTGATGCACGTGATTTTACTTTTTAGATCGTATTCAGAATGGCTGACTAATGGCCATTTTGTTTTAATGAATGGGCTTCTAGAGCCATATCTCTGACATGCTTTGACTGACTATGTTCAAATTTTATATATTCATTATACATGTATTCAAAATGGCTGATTTTGTTTTAATTTAATGCTATTCCAGAGCAATATCTCTCAATACTCGTTTGACGATCAGATACAAATGTCAATCATTTAAATGTTAAACAATCATCATAATCATATTCCTGACATGTTTATATTTCAGCTATATTACTATAAACAAAACTATATATCTTAAATTCGATAGCTAACGGGAACTGTGCCATGCATGGCTTGTTTTAATGAATATTTTTAGCTCCGCTGTTGACTTTTTTGAGCAGAGCTTATCAAATGAGTGATTGTCTGGCGTCGTCGTCCGCATCAACTTTTTAGTCCTTCGACTTCTTCTTGAAAACTGCAAGTCTGATTGATTTGATACTTGCTGTATATGTACCTTGGGTAGACCTCATATCTTTAATTCTCTAATTTTGGTGAATATTTTTGTCATTTTTGGTAAATTCTTGTTGAAAACAGCAATTGCTTTGATACCATACATATAGGTACCTAAGGTAGACCTCTCTCAGATTTGTTCATTTTCTAATGATATCTTTAATTGAAATATGCTCAGCCAAGAAACTGCTTGTTGAAGAAAAGATCGTTATATTTTAATTTGTGGTGGCTAATTTGTCTATGCTAAAATGTCATATCTCTAATTGTTGGCTGGTAACATATAGTAGACAAATGACAGTAGTACCTCGGTAGTGTTTTTTATACTGAAATATTTCAAAAATTTTAAAAGTGAAAAAAAAAAGCTCTTAATAGCATGTAACTACAGCTCGCTGATTGTACTTAATAAACCAAATGAACATTGAAATTTATGGTTATCTTTCTCAAAAATTATGAGTGGATTTCTATATACCTCAAGATTACTGGAACTATGACATCATTGGTGCTTAATATGACATGATTAAAACTGATTATGACATCATTGATGTGGACTATGACATTGTATATGCTTACTATGACATGATTGATACTGACTATGACATGATTGATACTGACTATGACATCATTGATTGGAATATGACATCATTGATATTGACTATGACATCATTGATATTGACTATGACATCATTGATGTGGACTATGACATTGTTGATGCTGACCATGACATATCATGAATGTTTATTATGAAATTATTGATTTGAAATACAACAGGAAGTTTAAGTATGATTCCTCTGAGAGTAACATGACTCCCTTCCTTGTACATTGTACAAATGTATATGTGTTGCACTGCATTACTAAGATATTCTAAACTCAACTAAATGTAATTGATACTATTATCTATATATTGTTCATAGTCCAGTCACATACACGTTCACACTGAAATATTTGCGGCACATGCCTCCCTTTTATGTTTGTTATGAACATGTTTATATCACAGGAGGGTCGCATAATTCATGGCATTAATGTTATGTATTTACACTTTCATGTTGTGCAATTTATTGTTTATCCAATGATGCTTTACATCACATACATTGTATTTGTGTCACTCATTTTAATCGCAATGGCAATGTGAACATAACTAAAAATTACAATTACAATGAGTCTATTCAGGGCCCAGTGTGCTAAAGTGAAATATAGCAATCAAAATATGAGAGCGAGCATGATTGTATAAATTTAAGACACAAATGTTGTAAATGTGGGACTCAAATGAGTTAAGTGTGTGTGTGTGTGGGGGGGGGGGTTGAGCAAAATCGGTACTCTCGTCTAGTAAAAAATAAATTATAGGGACTTCGACTTGTCAGAGTTGAGTATGAACATGCATATACAGTCTTTGAATAGTATCCTTGTAGATTGTATTCCCAACTAAATCTGAGATATTGTATATTAGAATGTAGGTAATCTTATTTTAAGTACCGATATTAATACATTTTACCTTGTAGAGTGCAACAAATATTGCTTTTAAAGTACAGGATGAAAACTGTATGTTGGTTGTCTTAGTTTCCTTATTTATCATTTCATCTACCTTCTCATTTGCACTGTCTTGCCACTCACTCCTCACTGATATACATGTACATGCACAGTGCATGGTAAAGATTTCATTTAAAGCTGAACATAAGATAATGCGTGGTATTTCTCAAAGCAATATCAATTTTTTATCTCACGATTTAAGCTTTAAAAATTCAAATATTGCTTCTGGTATAGACAACTGTTTCAGCCATAAATTAATTCTAAATGAGCAACTTATAAGGTTTGTTAAATTACTTTTCAATAGTTGATGTCATCAAATCATGGTTTCCAGTCATTTCAGGGTTTAATTCTCATTCCAGATTGTTCCCATATTTTATGGTTTCTTTAAATTGCAATACTGGCCATTGATCAGTGTCTTGACATTTCATATGGTTTCACTTCATAACACTCATTATAATTACACTGTTTAGAATATTGTCTGATATTACACATGTATCCCTTTCATGGCTAATTGTCTTCATACAAATGTAGTTTCATTCAAAATCGGCTTCTTTGTTATGCATATACAACAATTTTTTATGAAAAAATTTTTCATTTTCTTCAGGCTTGTTTCAAAATTATTGTTGAATTTTGAGGAAATTTTCAAATTTGTTCGGGGAAAAAATGAGGTTGCAATATTGGTTTTCTCCAAAAGAGATGCATAGAGAAGATGAAACCATTTGTTTAATGGTATACTGGAAATGCACTATTCACTGTCGTATGTTATCTTATACTTTATTAACTCAGAGTTATCATCTTCTCCGAGAATGTTAAAAGGAATTGACAGTTAATTTTAGTTGGCCAAGGTATGACAAATGTCTGAATTGTGCAATGCTGAGGGACTGAGGTATATAATTATGTGTTCACTACTTTGCACATTTTGAGAGGAAGAATTGTCTTGTTATGGTGAACATAGATTAACACCTGCCCCCAGAATTTACCAGCTGACACTTGAACACAGATCATCTACCATGGTTCATACGTGCTACACATTTTTAGATCACCTTTACAATATGCACTTTACGACTATTATATATCGACGAGTCTACTATTTACGAGTAAATTACAGTAAAAAAAAATCACACGGGTAATTCAAGCTTCCATTAGTACAAACTACAGTTCAACAAATGCTGCAGTTGTCATCAACTTGTTTCTCAATATTTTAATTCAAACTCAAAGTCGGCATCTTATAATCAATTTCCATTGAGTCGTGTGCACATATACTGAACTCTACGATCACCAGGAAGAATCCATAAAATA